TATATATATATATATATATATAAAATTGAAAGACAAAAAGGAAAAAAAAATCTCCGAACTATGCGGAGCATGCTCCACGTTGTGCGAAGACATCAGCTCCGCACGGTGTGCGGAGCAATCGGTTGATGCTCCGTACTGTGTGGAGCAATATTCATTTTTATTTTTATTTTTATTTTTTTCATTTTCAAACGGTCAAAGTAAACAATGGTGGGTACCCTGAGGAGCTGTGTGGAGCATTTCAATTTTTTATTTTTTATTAGTCAAAAGTCAACAATTGTGAATGAAAATATTCTAACAATTTCAGCCAACGGGAATGCTTCAAGATGAACAGTACTCAGCAGGGTGGGAGTAATTTGGGACAACCAAAATGCTTCAAAATGAACAGTAATCGGCATGTTGGCTCTTTTAATATAGTAGGGATTAAAAGAAAGGATCCACCGACTACTGTTCATTCTTGACACCCCGTGTTCACACTTAACGAGTTTGCTTCTTATGGGGGAATTAATTGGTTTGGATTTTTCTTCTTTTATGCCTAATAAAATAATAAATAGATATAATAGATTCAGTTGAAAAGCAGAAGGATGCGGGAACTTAGTTTCAATCTTGTCCTGTTGTGGTGGGATTGCATTCATTTTCAATGTCGGTAAGCAAATTATTTGTTTCCATTTGACTTTTATGGCATAATGTTGGTAAATATTTTGAATTCCCATTTTATCCTTAATATCAGTATTGATAGAAAATAATGTGGAGTTATTTAGTCAATGATATTTTTGATAAAGTTATTATCAAAGTGAGGGTGTAATGATCTTTTCAATTTTCATATAGCCCATGTTTGGTGCACATTATCAACCCAATAATGTATTTTTTTTATGTGATGGGGAATATGTGGTTGAAAAATAAGGAAAAATTATTGATGTGATGGAAAATATTATTTTATTAAAAAATGTGTGGTTGAAAATAAGTAGAAGAATAAGAATGAAAAAAATAATGTGGCTCAAACAGGGGCTAAATGTAGTCTGTCAGTGTCTGATAAATGTACTTCGACCATATTTTTTAAATGCCAATTTTGATTTCATCTGCTCTCTAAATTGTATTCTCACAAAAATTGTCAATATATTGTTCTAGTGTTACATGGAGTACCGACCTACTAGTTTTTATATAAAATCGGCAATATGCTTCACCCTGTAATAAAAGTAATCGATAAGTGAAGAGTACATTTAAAGGCAAAAAATTATGATCCAAAAAGAAGGCGTAAATTTGTTCTAGAAATATTTTTTTTTTATCAATAGGATGTTTTGTATAATATTTTATCTTTTTCTTTTGCATTACACAAATTGAATGTTTACATATTTTTACAGAAGTATTATGAGATCTTTTAACTTCACATCTTGCTAAAAAATGAAAATCTTTACCATTTGATGATTCTTATCAGCTTATTCATTAAAAAAAAGGACTTCCCTTTAAATTTACACCTTCTTTTTGGATCATAATTTTTTGGCTTTAAATGTACTCTTCACTTATCAGGTTAGTTTCATTACAGGGTGAAGCATATTGCTCATTTTACATAAAAACTAGCAGGTCGGTACTTTGTGTAACAACTAGAACACTTTTCCTAAAAAAGACAAATAGAGTCTACGCTAATTCTTTGAAACGTCTTGTTTAATTAATCATCTGCAACTATGGTACCACATGCTGCTATAATCATCTTGAAAGAAATGTTGATTGGGTGTGTTCATCATGTTTCGATATTTTTTTTTTTTTTTACAATAATCAACCCTCTTACTACTATTGCACTTGTTATAGCTTCTCCTCGTGCACATTTTAGTTTTGGAGTTGTAACTCTAGGAACTTCTCTTGTTCCAACTTTTGATCCTAGGCTGATTGAGACATTGATATAATGAAAATTGTTTATACTTTCGTATGGTTCACAACATCCTTATGATGCATGAAATTGATTAAGTAAGAATGTTAAGTGTTTGATATTTTGCACAATGTATTTTATCTTAGATTTTTTTATTGCTTTGTAATAGTTGTTTCTTATCTTTTCATTGATGAGCTCATAAATGTTTTAAGATTCTTATTATTTGACTCGGAACTTATTCTATCCCCTAAGCTAAGTTTATGATGTGAATTGAACCATCTTATTCGATTTTCTATTGTTTAGTTTACTTAACATGTTGTCCTTAGCTTTGATGGGATTTCTATTGCCAATGATGGAACGGGTGATTGAGACAAATGTTCTGATGGGACGTAGAGATAGAGGGAGAGAATTTTCCCATCCCATCTCATTGCCTCCCTCTTCTTCTTCTTCTTCTTCTTCTTCTATATGCACAAATGTAAATATTTTATGCTATTTTAAACTTTAACTTCAATTTTAAAAACAAATCTGCTCTTGCATCTCATGAATTAGAAATTTTAATTGCTGCAAATAATACAGTGCTAAATATCCTCGATTACTTGTCAAGGAAGAAAAGCCTTACAATCATGACGAAAGATGCTATAGGAATTTTTCATCAAGTGGGGTTTAAGTATGGTTATAAGCTTGTGGCAATTAAGATTTTGGTTCCTAAAATGAAATTTGCCCAAAACATTGTCATCTCACGAAGAGACCTTTCTTCAATGGCTTGTGTGAATTCCTGAGCTCTGGACAAGTTGTTATTACAGTTAAAAATGTTCAATTTTTATCATCGCTTTCTAACTTGACATGTTACGGCATCAATGATTGGACTAATGTGCCAACAAGTTTAAATTAAAAATATTTTTTTTTATTTCAAATTGAAAATGATATATTAAAATAACTGGAAATTTAAAAATTAATTTAGTAGAAGAAAATATTATAATTATAGGAAAGCCTATTATTCATGTTTTTTTAATTATTAACATGTTTTATTATTGCATTGTTTTGTGATTATACTGCAAATTATTATTAATAAGTCCAGTTTCCTATTGTATATCTTGCAAAGTTAGGTTATATTAATAGCTAAGTTTTATTGAGTCTACTACTTCTGATTGTAATAGGTAAAACATCTTTCTTATTTACGGAGTACCAATATGTTGGTATATTCATGGTCGCTTTTGCAATTTTCATTTTTTTGTTATTGGATTCTGTGAAAGTTTTCAACATAAAGAGACAGCATTGCACCTATGACAAGGAAAAACTATGCAAGCCGCTCTTGCAACTGCTTCTTAGCACCATATACTTTACCATATACTTTTTGCATGGTGATGTCACTTCAGTGCTTCCGCGTTTTCTTTTGAAGAAAATTGCTACATATACAAATGCAAGAACTACATTGGAAGCGAGAAAATGTATCAAGAAATGGGTTTTTAGATCTGATGCAGTCATGGGTTTTTTCCTTGCTACAAATGGCCTTTTGGTGCTATACATTACCATCAATCTTGTCAAGTTGTATTATGGTGACCATTGCGAAGGCCTCTTGCTCTTCGAGGCAATAATTGACTATGGTCTCGGTGGATCTTCCATGGCATTTTTGGGAGAGTAGGGGAAGGTGTTTGCACCAAGGCTGCTGGGAAGACCTCTTGCTCTACGAGGCAATAATTAGCTATGGTCTCAATGGATCTTCCATGGCTCTTTTTGGGAGAGTAGGAGGAGGTGTTACACCAAGGTTGCTGATGTTGGTGCTAATCTTGTTGGAAGAATGAAAACAATATTCTAGAAGATGACCCCAGAAATCCAGCTGTACGATACAATGTTTCTTTGATGTCACGTCCTTTGACATGGGAATGAGTTTTAAATGATTTCAATTTGTGTGTTGCACGTGATTGCTGACAACAACAGTAATAATGTTGGGAATATTGAAGGAATGGAGTCTGATCTTTTTCTTGTTGGAAGAATGAAAGCAATATTCTAGAAGATGGCCCTAGGAATCCAACTGTAAGATACAATGTTTCTCTGATGTCACGTCCTTTGACATGGGAATGAGTTTGAAATAATTTAAATTTGTGTGTTGCACATGATTGCTAACAATATCGGTGATAATGTTGGGAATATTGAAGGAATGGGGTCTGATCTTTTCGGTTGATATGCAGAACCATCATGTACTACTCTTGTGGTGGCTTCCATCTCCTCTTTGAGATTGACTCATGACTTCACTGCAATATGCTATCTACTGCTTATTAGTTCCATTAGAATCCTTGTTTGCTTAATCACCACCCTTTTTGCTACTAACTTTTTTGAAATCAAGGTTGTCAAGGAAATTAAACCAAGATTAAAAAACCAGCTTATTATCTCCACTGTTCTTATGACTATGGGCGTAGCAATTATTACCTGGCTTTGCACTTATTCTTCACAATTTTCACTCGGTGCTCGAAATTTATACTAGATATAGGTGATGGAGAATATGTTGTGCATCTAATGCTTTAAATTAACAATTGTGGCTTACTATTCCGTTTCAAAACATTAACCTTTTTACTTTCTGAGCTTTTGTTTCATCATAAACATTAACTAGAAGATTAGTAATATAATTATTTATTAATATTCAATTTACAAATTCTCTTGCTCTTTTTTCGCCACAAGTCCAAATTTTATACCCTGATTCATGCTATTTTTATTCGATCATTTGAATTATTTTTGTTGGAATATTTGAAATGAAATGATGATCATTGCACAAGAAGTATAATAAACATGGATGATATTCAAGAAAATCAAATTTCGTTTCATTATCTAAAATGCAACACCCTAACAAGTACATCTACAAATCATCTTATCTATCGTCAATCTTTAATATTAAACACATTAACATTACGTTCAGAGTAATGCAACCCGTGCATTGCAAGGGCAAGGACTAGTAGAAGAAAAAGAATCCAGAAAGCTTTGTGTATGGAATTTTTGTTTTTTATAGAATGAAATTCTTGAAAATGAATATCAACTCCTATTTATGATGAATGACTGATGAAACCAAGCCTATTTTTGACTATGTTTATAAATACTAAAATCATTTTTTATTCATACATTTCAAGAAATATACAAATACTACTTATTTATTCACCACATATGCATGACGAAACATCTTGAGACCAAATGTTATAAACGAACAACAAGAGCTCAATGTACAAGCAATCATCCTCAACGATCATATAAATCCTTTTGATTTATTTGTTCAATTTATTTCTAGATCTACCAAAAGCTCCAAGACAACTGAATATTTTGCGACTATATACCATATTAGCTTGGTCGACCTTAAGAATTTATTATTAAGAGCTAGCTTTGGATTGGATAAGGATGAGATATCATGTGACAACGCACTTCCTTACTAATACCTACATCACTTACTAACTTAGCCTCTTTTGATTTTGGTAAAAAAAAAAAATTAGATTTTGACTAGATTTTAATAAAAGTTAATCGAAATTTGTGGCTGGAAAGTTGATAAATTTTTGGATCCTATAGAATGTTGAGAAAAAAAAAATGAGTTTTCATAAATGGGGCCAAATGAGGTTTAATCTAGGGGCCCATATTGATATCATTGCTTCACTTTTATAAGTGGAAAATCCTACAAAAGAATAGCAGAAATAATTTTTGAATAATGCTAATTGTACATAATTGAGTTACATAATAATTTACATACAAACAATGTGTCAAAAAGAGAGTGAAGAAGTTTTTTTTTTTTTATTTGATCGAAGAAATTCTAACCCAATCATGAAGAAATATCTTTCTACATCATGTGTATGTAACCATTATATATATATGTAGTACAATTGATAATTTTTTTTTCTTTTTCATATGTAATTGCGTCTGACGTGAAACTTGTAACCTGTAATGTGTCTGTGACATATGACTTGTGAATTGTGACATGTGACTTCAGACTGAATCATGAAGCGTTTAATCTCGTGACATATCGACAAAAATTTTCACTCTGACGAAATGACACAACAACAGACATAATTTTTCACATTAGTGAGTGTAAAATGATTTACATTACATTACATATCCCAGATCAAATATAAGTAACTGACTTATGTGACTACATAAGCTACTAACTTGTCTGTGGTTAGTCACATGTTATATTTTATTTGTGACATGTGACTTATGGATTGTGACATGTGATTTGGGAGCTATAATCAAATATGTCTTCTTGTGATATGTTATTAATGCATAATGTGACCTATGACATATGACCTCGGAAATGAAACCAAATACATGTCTACTTGTGACCTATTATCAATGCAAAATGTGATATGTGATCAATGACATATGCCATGTAATCATAGACATGCGAGCTATAATCAGATATATGTTTAGTTGGGATTATAAATGCAGAATGTGACATGTGAGCTTTGTTGTAATTTTTTTTTTTTTCAAAAACTAACGATCTTTGGGAATAATATACTTTATTCCTGCATTAGTCGAATAGACAAAGACAACATAAATATCATATGTGAAATGGATTTATAAAACACCTATATTCATAGTTTTGTAATATACATTCATTAGTAGAACACTCATGTCACATTTGTAAGCACATTGTAAAATTTATGGATTGTAACGACTTCACAATCAATATAGAACCAATGTCACAACCCTAAAATAATGGTCTAACATCCATGTCTTAGTCATCGTTCAGTTTACAATACAAAACAGGTAAAAAATCATACAACAATTTCGTTGCGAACAGGGGAAATGACATAACACATCCGGATTACAGGGATGTATTTATAAAATGAGAATAACACTCATTTCAAAATCAAAGAAAATCAGGTTACAAACAAATCAAAATCAAAGATTAACATCATCCAAAATTAGGACAAAATGGGGTCACATAAATTCAATACCTTTGACATACAATTTACCCATCAACTGACCCTTCCATAAAAGAGGTTTAAAATTAAAAAAAAAATAAAAAAAATTAGAGGTTAATTAAATTACCTTCTTTTATTTCGATTTCACATCGTATCCGGAACTTTTTGATTTCTTTTTTTATATTTTTTATAGAAATTCTTTGTTGGATTTGGGTCTTTTTCTATTACCTCGCCCTTAACCAGTCTTACCTTCCTTTTTCCAACTATCAACACTCCTTGTTAGAATCATGTTGACATGGATTTGTATGTATCTAAGATTCATAAACTCTTCTATTTGGGAAAAAATGGTTTGTGAATTTATAAGTGAAAACTATCAAGTAGATGATTTAATCGGTGATAGCTTGGGACTGACTTCCCTCTACCTCAAGGAACATGAAAGAAGGTGATATTCTCTCTTACTCTAATATCGATATTAATATCCACAATAGATATTAATTTATTATTAATATTAAAATATACCATTAACATTAAATAACTTAATTATGACTTGATTTGTGAATTAATAAAGTTTAAGTCGATTATTGAAATAGAAAGTTAAAAAACATGTTAGAGTGTAATTTTCTTTCATTGTTGTCTACTAATCAAGAGAACCCTAAAAAAATTGTAGGATTTGGACCTTATGCATGCCATATAATTTGGGAAAATGATACTGGTGCATCACATATTACCTAATGGTGTCCATAACGATGAGCTGGCCTTTTTTTGATTCAAAATCTCGTGATCCATTTAAAAAGTTCTAAAATTTATGAAACAACCCCTAATTAATCCTTTTCATTCACCTATAAAGCGCAGATAACCCATCATTTAAAACCCTTCATTCACCCATAAACCATAATCTGATCGACCCTTTCTCATCCATGACCTGCAGGTCGACGGTGACAAATCAAGGGAACCCAGGTCTCCAACTGCATGAAGGATTCGAAGCAAAAAATCTTGTTCACTTAAAAAAAACCCAAAAATCCCATTCCCTTATTCACTTTGAGAAAGGATTGAAACACGAAGTCGTCCAGCGAAAATCAACCCAATAGCATTGATTTTCGTGGATACTTTCCAATATGGACGGCGATGAAGTCGACGGCAGGTATTGCAGCAAGGGTGAAATAATTTTCTTTCCTTTTTATGTGAAATGTTTTATATTTTTCTGCCTATATGCATATTGATGGCAAGCAAGACACCTTTATACAGTTTTCTTCATTTCCTTCCTCTTTTACAGATAAGAAGACCTATAGTAACCAAGAAACTGAACAGATGTTGGACAACATGGTGGACGGTGATGCGAAAAGTGATAACTTAGTATTTTTTCAATTGCAATACAATATTTCGAATCAAAATGAAATTTCAGTCAAGCTTATTAGTCATAGAAAAAATAAATTTGAGCTGTTTAATTACATACATACAGGAATGGAGGTTTACTCATCTGAGGTTGTGGGTGATGATTGTTTGGCTGATGATATGATAGGAGTAGCAAATGAGATTCTCGTTCCTATGTTGGTATGAAATTTGACAATGAGAAGGAGTTATTTGAATTCTATAAGAACTATGCTTATGAAATAGGGTTTCCCGTTAAAAAAAAGAAACTATAAGAAGGGTGATGATGGGGTTGTATGATATGTGAGTTTTATTTGTAGTCGAGAAGGTCGACGAAAGAGTAATACAAGTACTTCTTTGAAGCCTCTACCAAGATTGA